CGTTCCGTACTATTACTAGTCTTATGTTCGTAATACTTGGTACCGGTTCGGGTCGTCTACTATAGTTCTATATAGAGCTATAGGTCGTATACTACTTACTTATATATATATATATATATATGGAAAAAATTTATATAGAGCTGAAGTTCTAAACACTCAAATTTGAGCCTACATCAAACATTTCACTAGAAGAGGTTGTTTTGATTCCCAAATATAGTCAAATTGATCATCTCAACGTCAAGATGCATGTGCATGAGAAAAAATGCATTTTTGAACCGTCAATTTTCAGATTTTAAAGTTTTAATAGATCTATTGATCTACACTATTTTTTAAGCTATAAACTTTATAAATAAAGATGAAAATATATTTTAAGGCTATCAAAAATATTTTCAGTATTGAAAGGACTTTTATCGATACTATTTGAAGGTAGACTCTAATTTGATTGTTTAGAGCCTAGGCTTTATACAAACCGCACCCTATATATATATATATATATATGGAGAGTCTGAGGTCGGCCGGCTAGCTGAGTAAACTCCCAATTGCTCAGATTGAATCTGGACCAATCTAATTATCATGATTATATTTTATATTTAAGTTTTAGTTCATTTTCTACAAATTCAAAACACTTAAAATTTGGAGCGCCTATGAATCTAGCTAAAATATTAAAAAAAAAATTTACAAAACTTAAATAGAGTAAATTACCTTTGAAAATTTTTAAAATATTTTGATCCATTTATTTTTTTAAAAACATTACTCCACTTATATAACTTTTCAAACTAAAAAGTACAAGCACTTTGAGCCATACCCCATAAAAAACTTGATCCACCAGCTCATTATATGTCCCAGCGCTTCTTCCATGCCCATCTTCAAAAGGTATAAGTTCGTAGGTAATGGCGTAAGGCAGGAACTCCACGACGGCCACAAAAACGTCAATAGAAAACCCCGTTACCGTAAGCCTGCGGTTAATCGGATCCCGTTCCACTTTAACGAACTCCGTAAAACCGGTCTTAAAGGGAACCCCAATTCTCCACTTCTTTTGGTTTGTGGGGACCACCCAGCCCTGGGGCACAGCCGTTGATCTCCCAGGCCAGATCACCGGCCCTAATTCGTCCACGTGTACATCAAGGACCTCCTCGTCATTTGGAATTTCTATGTGGGGTGAGAGACCAAATTTTGATGACCAGAGTCCAACTTCAGTTGCCTGGTTCCCAATCACATTGATTATTTGAAATGTATATGCTTGGAGTTCGCCATTAACAAACTCGATATTCCCGGTTAAGCCCTCAAAATTTGTGGCTAAGATGGATCTTAGTAGTCTTTGTCCTGATGATGAAGTTCCTAAAGCCGCCAGGTCGGTAGAATTTCCGGTCACTTTCCCGGCGATTGGTGGCAGGAAACTGACTGCTTGGCTGCCGGATTTTTCTGCTGCCAGAGCAAGAGCCCAGGCGGCGTCGTACGCTCTTATGCCGAAAATGGTTAAGCTCGGGATATGTAGTTCATCTGGGTACTCCTGTCGAAAACGCCGTCTCCACCTCGTCGTGAAATTCGCCAGGCGATAGGAGTTTGCGACGTGGGATTTCACACCGATGACCCCTTGCATTGAATCTATGACTGCTGGATCCAAGGAGTCGAGGATGCCTGCTATCCCATCTGTTATGATCCAGGCATACCCTCTGCTCATCATGCCGATTTGTTGTACCTGAAGAAAAAATTTAGAGGCAAGAGGATACCTCATGTGCACCACAAAGACCCTGGTCTGCATGGTCATCAGTTTGAAGAGTTCCTCTCTGATTAGGCCTTCAGGAGCAGAGGGGGGAAGCACACATCTGTACTGAAGCTGGGAGTCGACTTCCTGGAGGGCATCGGTTAAGTAGGGGATGAAGCCGGTCCCATATGCGGTGTCTTCGTATATGGCTACCGCCCGTCTCCATCTGCATACCTTGAAGAGGGTCGCAATTGGTTTCGCCTGGGTGGAATAGTTGGGGGTCGCTCGGATGAAGTATGGAGTGTGAGCTGAAGAAAGAGAAGGAGAGGTTGCAGAGAAAGAGAGAATGGGCACTTGAGCTTTGCTTCCAAGATTGACGATGAAATCGGCTTCTGCTGACGTTTGGGGACCGATTATGGCCTGCACTTGTACTTTCTTCATCAGGTCTAAAGCTGTGTAGCAAAAAGGGTTGTTTGTGAGTTAATGTGCTGAAACTGTGGAAGTAATTTTTGCTTATATTTTCAGTGGTTTGAATTTTCAAAGAGCCCACTGAAGCTTCCAGCAGTAATTGAGCAGCATCTCATCATGTCAGCAATGGATACTAGGGAGTGTTATCCTTCATCGGATAAAAGCACAGTTAAACTACTGTAGGAAACTCCAGTGCGTTCACGATATGCATTTCTTTTCTTAGAGATGTTGGGGCACTGGTTTAAACCTTGGAAAGATTGTAAAACCATACCCAAGCTACAACCTCAAAATTAGAGGATGTGGGGTTATAACAGAGGATATCAAATGATAGACCAGAAAGAGAGAGAGATTACCAGCTGAAGCAGCCTTGACAACATCTCCACCTGAATCCCTCCACGAGATAGTGAGTCTAGTGGTGAAGTTAGGGTGGTCCTTGTAGAAATCTTCAAGGGCCATGCTTATGCACATTTTTCCCACTCTCCCAACCCATGAATCCATAACCAAAACCACCCCAACATTAACATCAGAATAACAATCTGCTATTTTCAATCCAACCAACAGTTGCAGAGATAAAATAAGAACTCTCAAAAGCAAACCACCCGCCATATCATGAGGCAATATTATCTTAGAGAGAGAGAGGCAATATGTTACAGAGAGAGAGATAGAGAGAGAGAGAGAGAGAGAGAGAGAGAGAG